TCTATCTATCTATCTATCTATCTATCTATCTATCTATCTATCTATCTATCTATCTAATTAATTAACTATTGACTCTCTATCTCTTTCTCACACATAAACACATCATATATACATATATTCAATGATTTTGTTTCTTGTTGTGTGTCCATTCATTCCAAAAGAAAAGTCTCTGGTTTCAATTCTATTTTAGTCTTTTAAATCATATGGATTAGTGTATATATCTGAATTCAAACTTTTCTGTCCATGTCCACCAAATATGATAAAATGTCACTTTGTGTAGTTTTCATCTCCAGCAAACTTTTGAAGCACCTTAATATTTTGTAGAAACTTCCTCTGGATGCAAATGCTAATTATGTATTGGTTTGTCAAAAATTCTGAGTTTCATGGTGAGGATTATAACCTCCTGTGAAATTTTCCCAAGAGCTTTCAGTGAACTATTATGGAAATAATTAAAGATTGTCTCAAAAATGAGACAATATCTGACAACACTTATTTTATTCCCTACCCCATCCCAATGGAGGACACAGGCCCTAGGATTTATTGTAACAACACTGCCCCCTGGTGTCTAAAGTGAGGAGTGGGGGCATATTTAGGGAAAATTCTTTCAGAGCAGATATTTCCTCAATTTCTCTATGGCAGGTTGGATATTTAGAAGGATTATCCTAAACTTTCATTTCCATCCTTCTGCCATGATACTAAAGGACCATGTTCCATTCCAGGATTTTCTAAAGCCAAATCATCTTGTAAACAGGGAAGGTTAAAAATTGGAATCTTCCAGCCATTTTCATCATTTTTTTCACTTCCCACCCCCAGCAAACTTTCTCATTGGATACCTAAAATAAAAGATTCCTAACGTTCTCAACAGATGTGATCAATCCTCATTGATTGAACTAGGATCTGAAGCTGAATCAAGTTTCAGAGCTGCTTTGAAAAAAGAATGGTGGTTTTTTGTTTTGTTTTGTTTTGTTTTTTTGGTCTGGGTTTAGATCCAGTTCTTTTTGTATGTTGTGCAGTAATATACTGCCGTGCCTTCAGCTTTGAGTTTTATTTGAAGATACAGCTGGCTTTTTTGCATTGATCCTGGACATGTTGAAGCATCCCTTCACTGTGTCTATTGGAACTGGGATTTATCCTTGCCCCCATTCCAGAGAAAGGACACCAAGTTTATCCACAGAATCTTTTTAGCTCCCCTTAAGGAATTGAAGGGAATTAATAAGAATTCAGGAAGGGGCACAAACTTTGTGGGTGGGTGGGTGGTGGCCTTACAGGGGAAAGTATGGGCTTCTGTTAAAGGGAAAATAGTGCCAAAATATATCTATCACTTGAGATAAAAAGTGCATACACATATACATTTCTTTGCACAGACTTTACACATGTAGTTTTCAAATAATATTGCAGTCCTAATAAAAGATGATGCTGGACATGTTTTTTTTTCCCCTCTAAGGAGATTGATGAGGTTTACTTTGAAATAAGGAAAACAAACACTTTGAAAAGCTCACCACTTCTTTTTAAAAAGTTTTTAAGAAGAGACTAGACCAGGGATGGCAATTGCATTAAGAGCTGGATCAGTGTTGTGTTTGACCCCTGAGGGTTGTGTGGCCAGGGTAGGCGTAGCCAGCTTGACAGCACTCATTGAGGCTCTGTTTTTGGCCACAATGACCTTCTGCCATTTTCTACCAGTAAAAACAGAACTCAAGGAGGCCGCAAGTGGCCTTCCCAAGCTCTATTTTTGCTGGCAGAGGCACTGCGGGCCTGTCCTTCATTGTATCCTGGGCAACCCTATGGGCCAGATCTAAGCACCCTGCAAGCCAAATCCCCACAGGCCACCCCTGGGTGGCCCTATGGGCCTTGAGATTGACACCCCTGAGTAAGATAGTCACTTGTCTGAAATGGTGATGTGATGACCCAGGGCATGGCACAAAGGCAACATAGTCAGATAAGCATTATCTCCAACTTTGCCCCCAATGTCGAGGTTACTTTCTGGCTGGAGAGAAACTCTCCCAAGAACAGCTTTTGACTGCAGAAAATTAAGTCCAAAACATGATCAACACAAACTGTAACTTAAAGTCCAAATGAGCCAAACTGAAATAATTAGTTTTAGCAGGGCAGGAGCAAGAATTTCAGACTTGAAGGCACAGCAAAACTCACACATGTGGGAAGAAACCAGGAACACAGATAAGCCATCACAACACAGGATAAAGTCATGTTTGCTCCCAGCAGCTTGTGGCACACAGCCTGCCTTTCTTATCAACTGTCTTCCCAGCTGTGGCTAATGAAGGAAATCAGGACCGTCTCCTCCCCTGTATGCCACACAACCCATGTTGCTCTCTTCTCTGTTCCTCCCTGCGTGCCCTAGGATGAAGAGAGGGTGGAAAGGACAAATATATGTGTCCCAGAATAATATTGCAGGATCCAATCTGGGTTGGTCACAGGGACCAAAGATTTAGTCTTCCCAGCCAATGGTGGGTTTCATTTTTTTAGCGACTGGTCCTTGGTGGGCATGCTTTGCTGGTGCACATGCTCTATTTCTGGTGCATGCACGCTATGTGCGCGCACAGAGGGTTTGCTAGTAACCTTCTTCTGCAATTCTGCACTCTCCCTGTATCTTCAACAGTTGATGCATGGCAATCAGCTGTGTTGTGCAAAGCAACTAAGGTTGAAAAGCAGGAAATAAAGGTCAGTATAGAGACAATGCATGTGGGAGGGCCCAGCAGCTGATTGTCAGAGCAAACCAGTTTGCTCACAGGTAATCATTGGAGCTCCTGGTTTAGTTGAACCAAGCCAAACCAGTAGAATACCACCACTGTTCCCAGCTTTTGGACTCATGCTGGAGCCCATTGTCAGAGAATTCTCCAAATAAATTATTTTGGTCCATATGTTTCCTTTATAATTTGGTGTGAAAACATTGCCCTCCCCAGTGTCAAAGGTGGGGAGAGGCCCCATCTTCCTAATTATCCAAATAAATTCTTTTGGTCCAGATGTTCCATAACATTTCTATGTCCAGATTAGATATTTAGAAGGATTCTCCTGAAGTTTTATTTCCAGACTTCTGCCATGATACTAAAGGAGAATATTTCATTCCAGTTTTTTTTTCTATGAAGTCAAATGATCTTGAAAACAAGGTAAGTGAAACTACAATTATGAAGCTATTGTCCTCATTTTTCATTGTCTTCCAGCATACTCTCTACCTGGAAGCCTAGAACAAAAGAACCATACAAGAATCCAGAATCTGGAGCTGAATCAAGTTGCAGTAATCCAGAATCTGGAGCCGAATCAAGTCGCACTGTTCCTCTGAAGAAAGGAAGGTTTTTGTTCAGCTTCTGATTTGCTTCTTCTCACTATGTCAGTTTGTAATAATAGATGGCTGCGGTAGTGGGATTCAAATTTTTTTACTACAGGTTCTGTGGGTGTGGCTTGGCAGGCGTGGCAGGGGAAGGATACTGTAAAATCTCCAGTCAAAGGTGGTATTTGCTGGTTCTCCGTACTACTCAAAATTTCCGTTACTGGTTCTCCAGAACTGGTCAGAACCTGCTGAATACCACTTCTGGATGGCTGTGTCTTCAGCTTTCAGATCATTCATTTGCAAATACAGCTGGATTTTGCATTATTCCTGGAGGTCATAAAGAGCCTCTTCACTTTGTCTGAGTACTTAATGACATATGAACCCGGATGAATCTCTGAAATCCATTCCAGTCCTTTTTCTGGAGCCTGTTCTCACCCAGTTCATCCAAGAGGTACTAAAAGTGAATCCAGAGTCTTGGCAGGAGAAATGGAGAGACTCCCCTATCCCTTCGAGACTCCACCAACTGGGCCTCTGACCCAAAAGCTTAAAAAAACTAAAAAGAAAGGAGTTTCAGTAACATCTCATGTATAGAAAAACAGCAAATGAAGGGAAATGCTATAGAGGTGGAAGCATTACCTCCAAGAACTGCTGTTAAGACCAACTTTAGCTACAGAATCATTGTTGCTCCCTCTAATAAATGGAGTGGAATCAAGCAGAAAGGATTCAGGAAAGTGCTCAAATTTTGTGTTGTAGGAAACCACCTGGCTACTTTAAAGGGGAAATTGTGTCCTGATTTACATACTGCTTCAGATAAAAGAGCTTTCCAGGGTGTTCAGCTATAAATTTCTTTGCACACACATTAAAACTTGATTTTAAAATCACATTACAGAAACACACACACACACACACACACACACACACACCACAGAATCAAGACAAGACTTTTATAATTAGGGTTCATTATATAGTGATCCAGATGTTCTTCCAGTGGACAAAGAAAGATAAAAGAGTCACTTTGTATTCACTAGTTTGAAATGTAAAACAAACAAACACACACACACACACACACACACACACACAAATGTATGTGTGTGCATATGTGTGTGTGTGTGTGTGTGTGTGTGTGTGTGTAGTATATATAGTACATATAGTAAGGAAAAATTGCCTAACAATTCTTTAACATTTTCAAATATAAAAAAGTCATCTCTGCATTCACGTTAGATTTTTTAACATGCCTATAATACACACAGATATATAGGGGGATGTCTTTATAAATATCAAGATAAATATTTTTCATAATTCGTACAATGGGTAGCCTTACATTTTATTAAATAGAATTCTTGCTTTTCAATGTGGAAGCTGTGCAGCTGAATTTCCTTTCTGTTAGTCACATTCCAAAATCTGAAAGTCTATAAGATGAGACCATAGATTTCTTTCATGTCCTTATAGAAGAAAGAACCTGAGAGACGAGAAGGTGTCCCATATCCCAAAGTTAATACATTGACCCCATCATGTCAAAAGTTCTCCTGATTTATAAGTGTTGGTAAGAATAACCATCAAGCAATGATGACAAGGCAGGAAGACAGTGCCAAATATATAGACCCAGAAGGCTTCATGGAGAAGAGATTTCCAATCGCCAATATCTCGCAATCATAATACTGACTAACCAAGGGAACAATGCTTCGGGCATTAGAGAATTTTAAATAGATTCATGTAGAAGGAATTAACAAGGACAGAGTCTTGGGTTTAAGCACACTGAGTATAAATTAATGGAGAACAAATGAAAAGTGCATAACTTGTAGAAAAGAATGAGACTGTGGAAGTTTGGCAATATTGAAAGAAAAAAAAGGGAGTAAATGAAAATATGTGAAAGATGTTCAGAGGTAGAGAAAGTTCTTGGTGGGCTTCAAATTCACTTCCTCTCACTGTGTCTCTTGCACAGTAATAGACTGCAGTGTCTTCTGGTTTGAGGCTGTTCATTTGCAGATACAGCTGGCTTTTGGCATTATCCCTAGAGATGGTGAAGCGTCCCTTGACTTTGTTTAAATAGTAAATGTAAGATGAGCCTTCGCTTATGTAGGCTACCCATTCCAGGCCTTTCCCTGGGGCCTGTCTCACCCAGCTCATTTCATAGCTGCTGAAGGTGAATCCAGAGGCTTGGCAGGAGAGACGGAGGGACTCCCCAGGTCTTCTCACATCCCCTCCAGACTCCACCAACTGGACATCAGATCTGACACCTAAAAGCAAAAAGGTTTCAATGATATTTCCTGAATATAAGAATAAAAAAATGAAAGGAAACTCAGCATAGAGGGAAACATTACCTCCAAGAGATACAAGTAAGGACACCAAGCTCAGCCACAAAATCATTATCGTTCTGTCAGTAACGAATGGATAGGAATTAAAAGAAGAGGATTTCAGAAAATGCACAAACTTTGTGTTGGTGGGTGTCATTGGAAAAGGAAACCAACTGTTGCCTTTAAAGGGGAAATTGTGCCTTGATTTACATATTGGTTGAGATAAAAGAGTTCCTCAGAGCAAGGATTTCATAGCTTTCTTTACACAGTCCCTGCACTGTTTGATGTTGATATAATTTCCCAGATCAAAGAAAAATTAAGTAGTCTTTATAGAAGAGTAATTGAAACAAAGACCTGCAAAATTTCACCACTTTTCAAAATTGATTCAAGGCAAAGAGATTTCATAATAATGTCAAGAGGAATAGTAATAACAATTGTAATAAAAATATTATCCAATCACTCACTGCAGATTGAAAAATAATAATAAACCACAGGAAAGAAGGAATAAAGGAAGGAAGGAAGGAAGGAAGGAAGGAAGGAAGGAAGGAAGGAAGGAAGGAAGGAAGGAAGGAAGGAAGGAAAAAGTGAAGGATAAAAATGTGAAGAGACACTGAAAAACACCCCCAAAGCTTCATATTTTTATATGTATTTAATTTACTATATAAGTACATTTACAATATGAACACTTAACTTTGCAGTTATAAAAAAGATAATCATGAAAAAAAAACATGACTGCATGTTTTTCTGTTTCAAAATGTTTATAAAGTTTTTTTTTTCCCCTATACTAAGATGACAGGAAAACATGATTCTTCTGGGGGGGCCATTTTCATATATAAGATTTGGTAGCTTTGGTGCTGGCCAGCTGTGGGGAAAGTGCATGAAGATAGATTAATGTGTTGTGGGAAGAAATATCCATCTGATTCAGTTCCAAGTAAGGAGAAAGACATGGAGGTTGATTGGAAAGATAGTTTATTGATGACATGGGTTAGAGGTCCTAGGCAGCTGATTACATAGAATGGAGAGTGAGGGTTATTTATACCTTTTATTGGGCCTTGCCCTTGAGCTTCCTGTTCCTGTGCAAATAATGTATTCTACTAGTTGCTGTAAGGGTCATGTGTAAATCCTAGGAGTTTGTGTGAGATTAGTTTGGATGAAGCCTGGGCTGATGTAATGTCCTTAGGAGGTTTTGCAATGCAGTGAGCCCTGATGCTAGATGGATTAGTCCTATTATGTCCTGAAGGGTCATGTCTTAATCCTCTCACCCTGGACCTGAAGGTCTTTTGTCTTGTAGGTAGGCTGGCCCAGTCCTTCTTAATGGGCACCTAATATCTGCTGGGGGCAGGGAGCTGGGACTGGGTATCTGTCTCCCTTAAGATTTCCATTTCTCTTTTAGGGGAAACATAATATTCGGCAATGTTTCCTAAATATTTCATTCTTCTAGGAGGGATGGGTGATAACTTTCACAGAAGAAAGAATGTAATGTACATTGAAGGTAGATTAATGTTTTTCCATTATATGCAAAATGTCTATGAAAGGTTTTCTAATCAAGGACTTTAGTTTAACAGCAGGCTCCATCATTTCTTTTTTGCTTGGCCACAAAACCTGACAAAACATCCCTCTATGTTGTTTTAATTTCCATCAGATATTTGAACTATCTGGACAGTTTTACTGAGGACAAAACTATCAATGATACACATCCCTTTTTATAAAAAAAATTCTGTTTCATAGCAGGATTGTAGCCTCTTGAGAGGTGGACTTTTCTTCAGGGATTGTCAGGGAATAAATACACAACTGTCACACCTCCAAAATTAGATAATATCTATTTAAAAATGATTTATTCCCATCCTCACCCACAAGCCATGGAGTTTCGTATGTCAACATTGCCCCCTTGTGTCCAAAGTGAGGAGAAGACATATCTTTCTAATTTTCTGAGGAGATTCTTCAGGCCCAGATGTTTTATTCTATTCGATATGACTTTTAAAAGAAACCTGAAAGAACTGACTGCAGGCCAAGATTGTTTTTGTTTTGAAGGCTATTTTGTTTGTTATGTTTATTAGTTCTTACTTGTCCAGAGTTGATTTGTCAAGATGGACAGTGATAAATAATAATGGAGGGAGGGAAGGAGGGAGGGAGGGAGAGAGGAATAGAGGAAAGGAGGGAGGTTAAAAAGTAGAGAAACTGAACAGAAAAGGGAAGCTTCATATTTCTTCTGCAGCAAACATAAGTAGTTTTACAATATTAACTTTTACTTTAATGATTACAAAAAGGAGCTCATGTTTTTCTATTATCCATTTATTTTTCATTAAAACCACAAATCATGGCTGCTTGTTTTTCTGTTTCATGCAAAAGGTCTCTAAAGGGTTTTCTAATCAAAGACATTAGTTTTGGTTTCTCTGCAGGTTCCATCATCTTCACCATCTGTTGTGTCTATAGGACTGGTTGGAGTCCCCAACCAGGTCCGTCGTTCAAGCGGGAGCGCCGACCGCTCCCATTGGCTGATGCCGTTTGACAGCCAGCTATAAAAGTTAGCCTGGCAGACACGGCAACCCTTTATTCAACTGAATAAAGTCTGTAAACGTTCGCTCTGGCTCAGTCTCGTATCTCCGCCGCTCCACAACACTGGCGACGAGGGCGGGATACTAATAAGAGGCTATCAGACGTTCGATACGAAGAGCTGGTCACTACAGAAAGAGCGAAGCCACGGGCGCTGAAGCCGCAGCCGCTGGCGCTCACCAAGAGTGCGAAGTTTAAAAGCCTCCTCAGCCGAGGAGACAGATGCCGCCTGACAGGCGCAGCCGCAAAACGCTCTTCTAAGAGCGCGGTTTTCGAAGTCACAGCCGCTGAGGTGACAAGCCCTGCTGCCTCAAGATGAATACCAACCCGACATTCCCACCCTTCAAGCCAGCCGAGGAAACGTGGGAGTCATACAAGAACCGATTCATCTACTTCCTCGACGCTATCGGTCTAACAGACGCTGCTGAGCACAGGAAAAAAGCCTTCTTCCTTAGTTACTGTGGGGCTGCGGTTTTTGACACCGCTACAGCACTAGTTGCCCCTCGCTCTGTCAGAAATATCCCTTGGGAAGAGCTCCAAGAGATTCTTACCAATCACTACTCACCTAAGCCCTCCCAGATAGCTAGGAGACATGCCTTCAGAACTAGAAAGCAGGCTGAGGGGGAGTCAATTAGCTCTGAGATCAGCTGCCTTACAGTGTGGATTCAGAGACTATCTAGAAGACATGCTTTTAGATCAGATTGTCTGTGGAGTTAGGGACCTCAGGCTTCAAAGACGCTTGCTAGCCAAAAAGGACTTAACCCTAGCTTTAGCTATAGAGGGAGCTCAAGCTGCTGAGCTCTCCGCCCAATCAGCAGCAGAAATACAAGGGGCTCCTATCAGACCCAGCAGCTCCACTATTCACTCAGAGGAAGTTTCCCTTGAAGAAGACCCCATAGGCACTACAGACATAAACCGCCTTAGGCAACTAAAACTCTCACAAGAAGGAGCAGGGCAAAGAAACAACTTCACCCCCAAACAGCCTCCCTTTTGCCCAGGCTGTGGGGGTTCCCACACTAGAGCATCCTGCAGGTTCAGGAATGCCATTTGTTTAAACTGTCAGAAGAAAGGCCACCTAGCTAGGGTCTGCCTAGCAGGGCGAACCTTCCCTCAGAGACCTCAACCTACTGCTAATTTCCAAAGGCAAGTGGAGGACTGTTATACTTGCTACCACGCAGACCACATTTCCAGGACCCCTAATAAAATAAGTATTTTTGTTTTCCTAGAAGGTAAGCCTTGCAGAATGGAGGTGGACACTGGATCTGCACTTTCAATCATCTCCTGGGAGACCCTGAAGAAGATCCACCCAAGGCTGTCAAAAAAGAAGCTACAGAAGTGCCACCTGACCCTGCGGGACTAGCAGGGCAAGAACATCCCTGTCCTCGGGAAAGGCAAGTTTTTAGTTCAGTTCCAAGGGTTTAAAGGCCATTTGCCTTTGGTGGTTGTTAATGGTGCCCTCCCCAGTCTGTTGGGACTAGATTGGTTCCCTTCTCTCGGCCTTAGCATAACGGGAATCCATGCTGTCTCAACCTCTGAAGTAGACACCCTATTCACAGACTATTCTGATGTTTTTAGCAATGAGTTGGGCTGCTATTCTGGCACCCCCATCTCCTTCACTGTAGACCCCCAGGCAATTCCCCTTCGCCTCAAGCCACACAGAGTACCCTTTGCCATCCGCCCAAAGCTAGATTTGGAATTAGATAAGTTACTAAAGCAAGGGGTCTTAGAGCCAACTGATTTTGCAAAATGGGAGACCCCCATAGTCACCCCACTCAAGAAAGATGGCAGCGTGAGAATCTGCGCTGACTACAAGACCACCCTCAATCGTTATCTGCAGGTCAGCGCATACCCTGTCCCTGTGATCTAACACTTATTACACTCTTTCGAACCCGGCACCATCTTTGCAAAATTAGACATGTCCCAGGCATACCAGCAGTTCCCTGTTGATGATCAGACAGCTGAGCTCCAATTTGGTGTCAGTGTAGCCCCAGGTATTTTCCAGTCCCTCATGGAAAGGATTCTCCAAGGTCTCCCAGGGGTTGTCCCTTACTTCGATGACATTTTAGTTTCAGCTCTTAACAGGACTCAGCTCATACAAAGGGTCAGAGCAGTCCTAGACAGGTTTAGGCAGCATGGCCTCAAACTCAAACGGGAGAAGTGCACCATCGCCACTAAGCAAGTGGACTTTCTGGGGTATAGGATTGATGCCTCTGGCATTCACCCAATTGAATCCAAAGTCAGGGCTATCCACGAGGCACCCACACCAACCAACAAGACGGAGCTCCAAGCCTTCCTGGGGCTATTGAACTTTTACGCTTCATTTCTTCCTCATAAAGCATCCATTGCAGAGCCCTTACACAGACTGTTAGACAAAGAATCCCCCTGGCATTGGGGACCAAGGGAAGCCCAAGCTTTCAAGTCAGTCAAATCCTTACTTACATCTGATGCAGTTTTAATCCAATTTAATCAAGAACTTCCCCTGGTCCTGGCTGCTGATGCATCCCCCTTTGGTATTGGGGC